AGGAGAAAGAATCTGGTCAACTAGTAGAGCAATTGGCTGTCCCCCACAAAGAGATTAGGCTCAAGCCTAATTTGGCTGCCACCTTGCAGTCATTTCTGGTGAGTAAGAAACTATATCCAAGTCAGGATTTCTAAAATCACAGAGAAAAGCATAAATAAAACCATTTTGGACACAAGGGGGAAAAAATGTAAGTCCATATGAGATGATTTCAGTATAACAGTCCAAAATAAATCATCTTTCTCTCATCAGTGCTTGGGATGCAAATAGCTACTCCATGGAAATTTTTGGAAGCAACATAAAAAAGTTTTCTTGGTTTCCTTAGTCTAAGCTGCAGTAGACCCAGACCTCCACTCGGTCTTTGCTAGAAACAATGCCTGACCACTGATGGTAAATCTGCCACATCATCACTTTCAAAGGGCTTTGGAGAAAGCAAAGCTCATTGTAAATTACAGAAGATCTCTTTTACTTTGTTTTCTAGCCTACTAATTGGCATTAAAATGGGATATTTTGTAACACTATGTATATAAGGGTCATAGACTTCATTTATGTTATCCTGCTGTGAGGGACTAGTAAATAATGTTAGGTCAACATTGGTATGTCTACATGCCTATGAAGCACCATAGGGAAAGAAACAGCCTTCCCCTAGGCCACAACAAATGGACGCCTAACCTTGTGGGGAATGAGTAATGGACATGGCCCTTTTATAACAGTTTTTTTCAAGCCCAAGTTTACCTCCTCATGCCATATTCAAGATACAGCCTTGTACTTTTGGCACTCACTCACTGTGTTAGAGGATTGTTTGCACACTCCCAGGTTACATAACGCAGGCTTGAGTCCTCCAGTCTATCTCATGTCACATTGTGTTTAAGCTTTATCTGTACTGTGCTTATTCCCCAGTTATTTCACTTGACAAAGTTTTCAGTAAGAAGGAAATTAATGATGTGGATTTAGGTGTGGATCTGAAACTTTGTGACATTCAGGTATTTTGTGGATGATGTGCTTTGTACATAGTTGCTGAATAAATGATTGCATGAATGAATTCTAAAGCAATACTATAATGGGTTTAGTCCATTTACTGCAGAACTCAGTTAGGAAGGTTTTGAGATGAATGCCAAATCAATTTATGCTTAGAAAAGGCATAAAGCTTCTTATATGACAGCAGGGAAAGCCTTGACATCTGTTTGAGCTGGTTAACCTGATATTCAGAAGCTGCAGAACCATGTTTAAGCTGGGCCATGGTTTTATAGTTTTTTTTGGTGAAAGATTTGAATATTACTTTTGTTTTGGCCATGCTTTCTCCATAAGATGCACATTTTCTTTCTTTCTTTCTTTCTTTTTTTCCTTTTTCTTTTTTCTTTTTTGAGATGGAGTTTCACTCTTGTTGCCCAGACTGGCACTAGCGCGATCTCTGCTCACCACAACCTCTGCCTCCCCAGTTCAAGCAATTCTCCTGCCTCCCGAGTAGCTGGGATTATAGGCATGCGCCACCATGCCCGACTAATTTTGTATTTTTAGTAGAGACCGGGTTTCTCCATGTTGGTCAGGCTGGTCTCAAACTCTCAACCTTAGGTGATCCCCCCACCTCAGCCACCCAAAGTGCTGGGATTACAGGCAGGAGCCACCGTGCCGGGCCCAGGATGCACATTTTTATATAACTGTGTTCCTGTCTTCAACCTTATGCTTTATCCAGGTCACTCTTCATAGTATCAGAATCTATTCACCTTCACGTGGAGCACATTTCAAAGCCTTTGATGAACAAAAAGAATCTGTTAGCGTATGCATAGCCGACTCTGGTGGATTTGGAAGGTCCATTTTGGGATTGATTTCTCAGGCTTATTGCTGCATTAATCCTCATGTTTACAAACATTAGAATCCCTTAATGAATTCTTAGACCATAATGTGTTAGTCTATGAATTAAGAAAAATGACTCAGATGAAGAATATGACAACTCCTGTTACCCCCTCCTCCAATCAAGTGTGTTTTTCTGTATTTCATTGCACAATGTCCCCAACAAGTATACATACATAGACAGACCCTCCTCTTCCATTTTTCTCTCTTTGGTTTCCAAAAAGATAACAGGCAGATTGGAAGGGATGCCACTACTTGTTAACAAAGCCCTCCATATAATCTCAGGTAAATAAATGTGTTGTCAACTATTGACTTTTTGAAGGAGAAGCCTGTATTTTTTTCACCTAAACTATACTAGTATTAGGAGAATGAGACTAGTTAGAAAAGTGAATTGGATTCAGGCTGGGTCTCATGGAGCTCTCAGATCATATCACATGAGCACCCAGTTTCTCCACCTGTTTCCAAAGAGGACATACAACCATGTCCACTATCACCCAAATTAATGTATCACCTCTGGCAGCAATCATATCTAACATTTGCCCTTTTCTCATAAATGTGATGCCAGCTATGAGTCCTGACCTTATGAGGGCCAGGCCATGGCTTTTTCCCCATTAGTTTTTAATACTATAAATATAAAAGTTGTATTTCAAACAATTGAGTGATATTCAATCTCTACTTAAAAGAAGACATGACTCCAAACATGGAAGTCATCATCATTAGATTGCTAGCCATTAGAACGTGAAGATAAGTGAAACCAAATTTACACACACACAAACACGCAGAGTATAAGAGTGTGTGTGTACATATATATATACACATACACACACACATATATGTTTATATTTATATATATGTGTATATATGTTTGGTTTTTTTAACTAAATTAGTTTTAACATACATACAGAGAGTTGGAAATAAAAGGTCCAGATCAGCCATTGCTGCTATTGTTTCTAATGATATTTTTTTCATAAAGGTTGTAGGTTGACATTATGAAAATGTGAGTAGCAACTTTTACAGAATTGCTTCTTATAATTATCTCATTAATATTGGGACAAATTAGACATCCAGAGAGGTGTGGGAGGTAGAGGCAAAAAAGGAAAGGAGAAAGGAAAAAAGAGAGGGAGAAAATCTAGAATAATTATGTTTTGTGCATGTCAAAAGCTGGATTTAGGCCCTGAACTCAATGTTTATCCTGCCTTGCAAAAGCTTCCATGTCTTTCCGTCAGTTTGTTTTGACCTGAAACTTTGTTTTCTCATACCAGATGACACCAGTAAGTTGCACATTGATGTGAAGCCTTACATCCCATCATTTGTTGCTGCAAAGCTGGGTTTTTGAATGTGGTACTTGTCTTGGACCTAGCGGGTAGTGAGTGATAGTGTGGGGTGCCAGTAGCATTACTGAAGTGAAGTGTGGATGCCTGTTGACCTTAGTGTGTAGGACAACCAAGGCACAAGTCTTTTTTCAAGTCAGCATGATCCTCTAGGAATGCTACCATCATTCTCATGTCTGGTAGCTTTAACACCAAACACTTTCATGCTAGCAATGCAATGGGAACCATTATATTGTAATCTCATTTTTAAATGTTTTCTAAGAAGTAGAAAACCAATCTGTATGCAAACCAGTGACATCTAAGTAATAAGTCCTTTATTCAGGAATGTTATCTTCACATTTTTAGCTGAATTGTGATCCATATCTCAAACTAAATAATGGATTTTTTAATGGTATCTTCAAAAGGATACCCAAATAATCCATCACTCGGATATATCTCTGAGTAGAGAAAATGCCTTTCTTTCTCACCTCTCAGTGATATTATTGCATTATGAAGCACTCAGTAGGCTTTAAGTTTACGGCTGGTTGGCTCAGGACACTCATACCGTGGTGTTAATGAGGCTGGGGTCATGGAGGCCCGTTAGCTTTGCTCTGTCTGCTGACCACAGACTACCGGGAAATCAGTCAAGAGATGGTAGCACAGACAAGAAAGGCACCATGGCAAAACCTCAGCAGTTCTGAGTTTTTCCTCCCCATATAACAGGCAGGATGTGTTAGTTGGGTGTCATCATCTCAAGAAGGAAATGAGTAGCAGCTTGGGAGGCCCCAACCTTCACCTCTGAACAAAGCAGGTCTGACATTTAGGCATTAACTTTGCATTATAATCCCCCATCATACCATTGATTTGCTGTGTAACCTTCATCACTGAAGCACAGATAATAGGATAGAATGAAATGGGCTTACCTCCCGGGGATGTTGTGTGAATTAGCAAATTAACGAGTGTAAAGTGTTAGCATTTATGTAAGTGCTGGTGGTTGTCATTATTTTTAGGGACCTAGTCTCATTCTAAATAGAGAATCTAAGTATATTATGCTTTTTTCAGAAAGGAATTTTCACCCACATCAATTGCATTTAAGCAGAGCATAAAACAGAGGTGATAATAACATAGTAGTGATCATTGCAATGCAGAGCTGTAAACCTTTTCCCTATTAAAGCTAGAACTATTTTCAGCAACTTTCAATGCTTTTAAACTTTGTTTTCCAAATTTTGTTGTCTCTATAATAATTATTCTTCCTGTGACGGGTAGTGTGAATGGGACCTAGAATAGGTCCTATTCATTATTCATTCCCATAATGACTATATATTGAATTTTTTTACATCATACAATCAAGCAAATTTGGTAGCTAGTGTGATTGACACATACTGCAATCATTGTAAAAAATAAAAACTCTTTTCTGCTCTGCCCATGCTGGTGTCCTCTAGAGGTAGCCAACATACAGATTGAAAACTCATGGGGAATTGAAGTGCTTTCCAACAAAAGGTGCTGTATATAGATCTTTTCAATTTAACATCTTTACCAAAGAATTTTGTTGTTGCCTGCTATTTCCAAGGGGACTGTGCTTGAGAGAATGCTTCCATTTCTTTTATCACTCTGACTTCGCTTACCAAGAAAATGTCATTTATTGCTGATTGCAGAACTCTTGAACTCAGCCGGGCAGCTGCCGCATGAACTCCTCAGATCTGAGTTCCTTGTTACTTATTTACATATTCATTTGAAGTGATTTTTCAGGACTATTTGAAAACCTTTCTCAACCTAACATCATGTAATAGCAAAGATCTAAAGCTTACCATGCTTTTGGTTCTTTTTCTCTTTGTCTTACAGATAACAGACGAGTACCTTTGGAAAGGTCACGCTCTCGCCACAATGGAGCTATCTCATCTAAGTGATTCCTGATGCCAAAGAATATGAAAATATTTAAGTAAACAAAATGATGCATTTTGAGAAGAACAAAGTATGCACTCAGCGGCTGGAAAGGGAATAAGTGCATTTTTGCAAAGATCAAGATAAGCTGGATGAAGTAGTGTGCATTTGTAATACTATTGCAAGACTCCTCCCACAATTATTCTAATCTGAATACAGTTATCAGGATTACAAAATGTGTTCCATTTTAGTGTAAAGATGTGTATCATTTGTAATTGTGTGTGACCTGACTGTGATGATGAAAGTGTAAGAAATTGAAGAGTTCTAAGGCTTTCAAAAACATTCAGTCTGTCAAAAATTTAAAATCTTAAATGTGTAAGTCACCCCCACCAAAAACAAAAGAGAAGAAAAAGAATAGAAAGTATTATCCAGTGTCAGCTTCCAATTCCTGTTACATATATAATAGAAAAGGGCCAAGAAAAATATACATCTTGATTTGGAGAGGGGCTAATATTATGCACACTGTAAGAGAAGCCATTTTGGAAATTCATGAAAGTACTGCTCCACCCCAGTTGAGTTATTTAGAATCTTATCTCAAGTGAAAGCTGATGGATTCATCTGCTTTGGCTGAAATTAAACTTATCATTAGTCTAGCTAGCATTTCAGCATGATATTGCAAGCATTTCTCATTGCTAAAAATAAACCAAAGTTTAACCGAATCAGTTAGAGAAAGTGATTTAAACTTTATTTAAAGAGGTATTTTCTAATTATGCACAGATATCTACTTTATACAAATACTTTATATGGCTATTTTTGAGAAAACCCTCACATTTTAATGTTTATGCTAGGGATGAACCTGAAAATTCTATTACCTTTATTTAGATTTCAAAGACAAATATTGATTCCTATGCTCTGTGGTTTATTTCTTTTTTCTATTGCTTCTTTCTCCCTTGAGTCCCTTGAAGGCAGGGAATAGAATTCTAGAAAACCTGAGAGGAAAAAGAATTCTTTTTGCAGGAGGCAGCAGAAAACTGTCTAAAAGGTCAATTGTTTTATCTCCCTTTCTACTCTCTTTCCAATTTCACTTTGGTGGTCTGAAGAAGAAAAAGAAATTTTATGTATGTATGTGTAAATATGTGTGTATATTTATATCTCTTGCTACAATAATTCCAACTAAGTGAACTTCTCAATTATCATCATACTTACTTACCTTATATTAACAAATTAAAATGATGCTGCCAAAACAAGTCTAGCAGGGAAAACAGGTTCTACATTTTTCTTAAATAGATTAGGGAGTAAAAGTTATACTTAACTTGTCTATTATTTTAAAATATACATTGAAATAATGTGGTATAACTTCTCTGGAGTGCAATTTTAAGTCTAATTCACGCAGATGATTGTGATTATTGTAAGAAATTTCTTACATGTATATTTCTTATAGAAAATACTGTTTCTACTCATTCAAAGCACATTGTAGATATTCAGAGAGAAGAACAAATGGCTGGCTTGGCAAATCCCCATCTGAGATAAAGTAAACAAGTGACCAGCAGCTTACAGATTCCTTTATATAGATGTATAATGATTCAAACTGCTGCCTTTGCCTCCAGTGCATCCTTACTTAGGTATTATACTTTTAAAAGCTCTGAAGCTGCTACAATAGAGAAAGCAAAAAGGGTGACAGTATCTGAGATTTTATAGTTCTATCCGATCTGAAAACACACATACACAAACACACACATGTGCACATACACATTTAAGGGACATATCAGTTACACTGTTTTTTAACAACAACAAAAGTTTAGGTTCTAATTTATGTAAATACGTAATATGTGTATTTTTGACTTTACAATGTCTTTTCTGAAATCTTCGTGGTATGGCTTTTTTAATTCTTTTGACAGCTTATCAGTCTGTAGGAGAGTGATTTTGAAAATGTTAACCCTGACTAAAATTTGGGAGCATATGCCTAGCTATATTATCAAGCTGGTCAAGGTAGAAATACTGATATGTATCACCTTTTCCAGACGCAAACTTGCCTTATTTTCTAGTTTGTGAACAAGAACGAATGAAGTACTATTATTGATAACTTATATATTTTTATTTAGAGCAAATCCCACTTGCTTTTCACAAACATTAAAAAACTTTTCAGGGTCTTTCATGAAGTTCCAATAATTGAGTTAAAAGGTTTGTTTCCCAGATTTATAATGGTCCTGCTCTAGCCATTTGCAGTTTTGTTTTAGATTGAAAAGTATCACTAAAATAAGTATATAGTGACATTTTTAGTATGAAACCAAATTACACTAAGGTCTTTTGTTGGCCATATTACTGCCACATGTGAGAAGCACCATTTATGCAGATTTTCTTCAGAATATTTTTTTAAAGGTACAGAATTCTTAAAATATTAACTAATTGCATCCATCTCCTTTGGCTGCTGTAACCAATTACCAATATGATGGCTTAACACAACAGAAACTTATTTGCTTACATTTCTTGAGGGCAGCAAAGCCATGCTCCCTCCAGAGGCCCTAGAGGAGAATCTTTCCTTGCCACATCCACCTTCTGGTGGCTATTGGCATTTTTTGGCTTATGGCCACATTTCTCTTTCTGCTGTGTCTTCACATCACCTTCCTCTGTGTACCTAATCTCCCTCTGCCTCTGTTTTATAAGGATCCTTATTATGACTTTTAGAGACTACCCAGATGACTCCAGGATAATCTCCTCACCTCATGATTCTTAACTTAATTACATCTGCAAGGCCCCGTTTTCCAAATAAGATAACATTCACGGGTTTGGGGGATTAGGATGTGGCTATATCTTTTAGGAAGCCACTCTTAGCCCACCCAAGTCTGCCCTCTGGCCCAAAATTTATGTCTGTCTCATGTGTAAAAGACATTCATCCCATCCTAACATTCCCAAAAGTCTCAACCCATTTTGCACTCAATCCTAAGTCCAAAATCTCATTCAAATATCATTGGTTCAAAAGTTCCAAAGCTTATCATTTAGATCATCTAAATCAGGTATGAGTGAAACTCTGGTATGGTCTTTCCTGAGGCAAAATTCCTCTTCCTCTGAGAACCAGTGAAACAGAAAAGTTACCTGCTTTCAAATTACAATGGTGGGAACAGGCATAGGATAACGGTTACAGACATTTCTGTTTCAAAAAGGAGAGAATGGAAAGTGGAATGGAGTCTCCTGTCCCAATCATTTTCAAAATCTAGCCAGACAAATTTCTCTTCTTATATTTCAAGACCTGGCAGTAATCCTCTCTCTCAGGGCTCCACCCTTTGGGCCTGTAGCTCTTCTTTCTTGGACTATGGATTGGGCCTCTGCCTCTGTGCCTGTGGCTTGCATTTCTTCCTCTGTTCCCACACTTGGGCCTCTGCCTCTGTACCTGCAGGTCTGCTCTCAGGATGGTGCTTCCCTTATCTTGAAGGGTAGCACGTGTTTGCAGCTGAGTACTTTTATCAATGGGTTTCCTACCTGTAGACTTTTGGCAGTCTCACAATCTTCTTTCATTTTATTCTCTCCCTGTCCCTTTTAGGCCCAGTTGGAAGTGTTTCTGCTGGTATAGCATTCTCAAAAACCTTGTGGGTCTTCCATGTATGTCACATTGATTCACACATTCAGAAAAGATTTTTCCTGAATAACCCCATCTCTATTCTTGGCTTCTGTTGAAACAGTCAAATAAATCCACAAGTTAATGCCTAACCTCTTCAGCACTAGCCAAAGGTTGTCAAGACACACCCTTGGGCTTATCTCCAGAGCACACTTTTCTAACAGTGAATCTCCTAATTTTAGCATCTTTTTTTTTTTTTTTTACAATCTGAATAGGCTCCGAATTTACCCAGTTATCAGGTACTGATTCCTTGTCCACTTATATGGTTCTTTTCTCTTAAAAAAATTTTTTTTTAATTTATTAGAGATGAGGTCTCACTCTGCCACCCAGAGTGCAGAGGCTGCAGTGTAGTGGTGCAAACATAGCTCACTGTAACCTCAAACTCCCAGGCTCAAGTGATCCTCCTGCATCAGCCTTCCAAGTAGCTGGGTCTACAGGTGCATGCCACCATGCCTGGCTAATTTTTGCATTTTTTGTAGAGGCTTGATCTTGCTATGTTGCTCAGGCTGCTCTTGAACTCCTAGCCTCGAACAATCCACCCATCTTGGCCTCTTAAAGTGCCGGATTACAGGTGTGAGCCACCATGCCCAGCCTCTTTTGTCAATGTATCTCTTTTCTGTCTTATTTTACTATAAGCACTAAGAAGAAACTAAGCTATACCTCTAACACTAGACTTGAAAATTTCCTCGGCTAAACATCCAAGTTCATCATTTATTCTACTTTTCACACTACTGTACTAGACAATTTAGATAAACTTTTTGCCACTATACGACCAGGATTCCCTTTCTCCCATTTTCCAATAAAATCTTCATTTCTTTCTAAACCATCACTAGAAATGCCTTTAACATTCATACTTCTACCAACTATCTGGTTAAGGCAATCTAGCTTTTTCTATCACACCCACCACAATTCTTCTAGTCCCTACCCATTATCCAATTCCAAAGCCATTTTCACATTTTAAGACATTTGTTACAGAAGTACCCAATTTCCCAGTTTCACAATCTGTATTAGATTCCTGTGGCTGCTGTAACAAATTACCCTCAAGCCCAGTGGCTTAAAACAATAGAAATTTATTATCTTCTTGTTTTGGAGGCCAAAAGTCCAAAATTGAGGGGTTGGCAGGGCTGAGCTGCTTCTGGAGACTCTAGGGGAAGCACTCTTCCCATGTCTTCCAGTTTCTTGTGGCTGCCATCATTCCTTGGTTTGTGACTGCATCTCCCTCTGCTCTGTCTTCACATCACTTCCCCTCTGTATATATAATCTACCTCTGCCTCTCTCTTAAAAAGACACTTATGATGGGATTTAGGGCCCATCCAGATTACCCATGTTAATTCCCTTATTCCAAGATTCTTAATTACATCTGAAAGGACCTTTTTTCCAAATAAGGTACTATCACAGGTTCCAGGGATTAGGATATTGAATATATTCTTTTTTGGGGGGGGGGGGCACCATGCAACTCACTACAGTACTCATTGCACATAAATGGATTTTTCACTTTTTAAGATGCATTCATGGTGCTCAAACCAAATCGAAGTTTGTCTCTAAAAGTTTGCACAGGCTACTGCATGCTTTGTTGTTAAATGGATGGACAGGCTATTCTAAATTTTGGTTGATACTTTTGCCCCCATGGCCAATTAACTTGAAAAAAATAATCGATCCCAACTCTGTGCTCTGATGTACCTCTTCTGCCCCTTTTTTGACGCCTTTGACCAGATGCCTTCTATGGTTCACAATACAGGCACAAAACTACCTCTGATACAGAAGGGTTCTTTACAAGCTTATTTTAAATACCGTGAATCCCTTACCTGAAGGGAGAGGTGAAAGCAAAGACTGCTTTGAGTGGGTATTGAGGGAGATTGTGTCCATACCAAGCCACCCTGAAGAAGTATTTCACTTGCAGTAGAACTGTGGATTTGTGCTCTCGTTTCACCTTGGAATAAACGCCTATCTCTAAGCAGGACCAAGAATAACTTGCAATCTATATGTAATGGCTACTTACTTATTCAATAAAGTTAAGATATACATTAAATGTTGTACTGTCTATGATAATTAAGGTTAAACACAAGTGAAAAGGCATGAACTCTGGAGAGTCAAGACAGGATGTGAGAACATTCTAGGAGGAGAGGCCTCAACCAAAGAGAAGTGCAGGAGTGCTTTTATATGGGCCCCGTCAGGTGGAGATCATGGGATCATATTAAAAACATACTTGTAGGAATCATAAGGTTTTCTTTAGCACTGCTTGCTACAGTAGTGGAGATACTGTGCAACTGAAAAGTTTAGAAACATCAGAAGGGTGATTTACATGCTCCAGAGAAACTACTTCAACAGAAAAGGTTTTTGTTTTGTTTTGTTTTGTTTTGGTATTGAGTATAGAATTAAGCAAGTGGGCTTCAAATGCTCAGAAGGGTAAAAATCTGGAATGAGTAATAAAAGGACTGTAGATTATTATTTTCTGGAGAGCCTTCAATAGAATATCTCATCATGGGTGGGGTGACTTGAAAATGAAGATCTGGACAATGTAATAACCAGGTCTATAAATAATATGATCTGAAACATTTGTTTCAAAGGCAAACCAAACACCATTGTTTCCCTTGGAATGGTTTACATCAGGAATCAAATACATTGGCGTTTTCTCCCCCCTTAGACCCAAATAGGCAAATTCCTTAATAGGAAGTCTGCAAACGTTAGTATCCACAACTAGGAGAATTTGAGCTTAAAGGCCAGAGCTCAAAGGAAAAATGGAAATCCAGAAATTAATATATATGCAATACATGTAACATGCTATATAGTTTTGATTTACAATAAAAATAAAGCTATAGCCAAATATCTCATTTACAGACTGAATTTATTTAAATGTCTAGAGTCCCATTGGCCACAAATAAAATATTATTACAGGTAGTGTCCATTTCAGGAAAAACAACTTGCAAATATATGAATTATGCAAATCATAACTTTGTTCCTAGTTCTTGGAGATGAGCCAGAGTTCAATCTTTAGCGATGATGACCTTATATCTTGGATAATAGCAGTTCAGCTAATATTTTCACCTATATCTTGGCTAATTGAGGTCCAGCCATCACCTTTTGATGTTTATGAGCAAAGTGTAAGCACTATTATCATATTATTTGACATAATAATAAATAAATAAAACCCCTCAACTTCTCTACTTTGTTAAAGTCTGCCCCCACCCCCACTCCCCAGTGGGGCTATTCTCATCACTGAGTGTCCATTTAATGGAAGTTGCTTTTTCAGGACACAATTATGAATTAAACATAGCTCCTGGCTTCAAGATCTCACAGTCTAGTGGGAGATGGGATATGTACAAACAGAATTGTAATTCAAGGTAGAAAGAAACTGATTGATGTTGAAACTGATATAAGGCCTGTGGAGGTTCAGAAAAAGCAAGAATTTAGTTTTAGAGAGGTGGGGTGGTTATTGGGTGGGAAGCTGAGATCTGTGTAGATTTTGTGGAGTGGCTGGCATTTAAACTGAAATTTAAGAGGTAAGTAAATTTGGATCTGTGACACTGTTAGTCATTCAGTCAGTATTTACTGAGCACCTATTGTGTGCCACACACAATACCAGGCTTTATGACAGTGAACCAGCTAGATGTGGTTCAAGATCTCATGGAAGTGACATCTGTTTGAAGAGGGAGGGAGGGAAGGCATGAGCCGAGGTATAAACTTGGAACCTTGGTGCATACGCAGAGAATATTGAACAATTCTGTTTGACTAGAGTGCAAGGTCCATGAGTCACAGCAGTGGATGTGTGGTTTGGGCTTCTTGATTCTGTACAGGACAGGGAAATATTGAGGGGTTTTGAGCAAAGAAATTATTTGGAGCATTGAAGGAAGATGACTCTAGAAGCTCTATGTAGGACAGGTAGAGTGCGGAGAGGCCACAGAAGACCAACTTTTTTGGGAGGTTATTGCAATAATACTTATGAGAAATGAGGCCGCAAACTGGGGTAGCAGTTTTCAGTGGCACCACAGATATGCACAGCTGCAGCTCTGAGGCTTGCTATGATCCTTTTTTTTTTTTTTTTTTTTTTTTTTTTTGAGACGGAGTTGGAGTCTCACTCTGTTGCCAGGCTGGAGTACAGTTGCATGATCTCGACTCACTGCAACCTCCACCTCCCGGGTTCAAGCAATTCTCCTGCCTCAGCCTCCCGAGTAGCTGGGACTACAGGCGCATGCCGCCTCACTTGGCTTTTTTTTTTTTTTTTTTTTAAGTAGAGATGGGGTTTCACTATGTTGCCCAGGCTAGTCTCAAGCTCCTGAGCTCAGGTAGTCCACCTGCCTCGGCCTTCCAAGGTGCTAGGATTACCGGCATGAGCCACCACACCCGGCTGCTATGATCCTATTATCTGTACTGTCGCATGGCTCATGCAAGCCTTATATGCAAGTAGCATCAAATCACAGAGACATGGAGCAGAAAGGAGAACATGATTTCTGCAGAACTTATTCAGTAATATTATAGTGATTATGGTAATAAGAGCAAGGGTAAGATCTCTAGGTTGCTTTCTTTTCCTTT